ATTATGCGTGTTGTGTTATCGTAAAAGCTGAAACATTTGTATGCTTCAGTTTCGCTTTCTTTGTCAACTACTTAATTGCAAGGAAACAATGAAACTGTCATATAATCTGTGAATACCATCTACAAGCGGTCCTGGCTGATGCGAGGGAAGTCAAAATAGGCCCATCCCTGTAGCCTCAATAACAAAGCCGTTCGTGGATACTAAACTGGCAATCTTTATATTTTCATTCTATTCTACATATCTTTCTTCTTCCGAATGTCTCCCTAGATATTGTCTCCTTCTTAGCTTTCAGTTGAGCGTTTGCCCCTGTAAGGCTGTGGATACTCTCCCTTGGTCGATATAACTCCTGTTTAAGCCCATAGCCAAACATAGCAGCACCTCACGGCAAGATATCCACCCCAGCCTTAGTACCTTAAATGCGACACCTTACAGTGTCAGAAAACTTATACAGTACCCTAAACACACAGAGACACCTCGCAGTAAGATGTCTGTCCTAGCGTCAGTACCCTAACACACAGAGACACCTCGCAGTAAGATGCCTGTCCTAGCGTCAGTACCCTAACACACAGAGACACCTCGCAGTAAGACATCTGTCATAGCGTCAGTACCCTAACACACAGAGACACCTCGCAGTAAGACATCTGTCATAGCGTCAGTACCCTAAACACACAGAGAACCTTGTAGTAAGACATCTGTCATAGCGTCAGTACCCTAACACACAGAGACACCTCGCAGTAAGACATCTGTCATAGCGTCAGTACCTTAACACACAGAGACACCTTGTAGTAAGACATCTGTCATAGCGTCAGTACCCTAAACACACAGAGACACCTTGTAGTAAGACATCTGTCATAGCGTCAGTACCCTAAACACACAGAGACACCTCGCAGTAAGACATCTGTCATAGCGTCAGTACCCTAAACACACAGAGACACCTTGTAGTAAGACATCTGTCATAGCGTCAGTACCCTAAACACACAGGGACACCTTGTAGTAAGACATCTGTCATAGCGTCAGTACCCTAAACACACAGGGACACCTTGTAGTAAGACATCTGTCATAGCGTCAGTACCCTAACACAGAGACACCTCGCAGGGAGATGTCTGTCATAGCGTCAGTACCTGAACACACAGAGACACCTCGCAGTAAGATGTCTGTCCTAGCGTCAGTACCCTAACACACAGAAAACCTCCCGGTAAGATAACCGTCCTTACGTCAGTAATCTTACACAGTCCCAACTCACCAAAGTAGAAATCATTACATTATTTTACTTCATAAATATTTACCAATGATTGTGGTGTCATAACACGCTATAATTAGCACAATATGATGACCCTGAGATGGTCTAGACTCTTGAGGACAGTAAATTTAGAGACCGACACCTTGTTGAATTATTAATCCACAAATTATACACGAGTCCAGTCTGATATAGCATAAAAGCAGTCCTTGGTTGGGATTTTATAACAAGTACTTACGGTCCCAGGGCGATAATTGAGCTATATCTGATCTTTCTGTCCTGTCAGCTGATTTCGCCATGACAGATCATTAGATTACAAACAATTACATATGTTTGTTTGTTCGAGTCAGATTTTACTTCTTTTTTAATCACGTGCTGTTCTACTGAAGCAAACAAAATTGAACTACAGGTTTAGTGTACCAACGATCTGTGTTCTTGGTTTCTTTATGATCTTAGTATCACAACACCATTATCGAACCAGGAATATTGTCGCTAACTCAGAGCACGTATTGTGATGTGCTGTTTGCTTTTTGATCACTTCAGTACTAGTAATATGACCCCCGCCCCTCCTGACCCCCCCCCCCCCCCCCCACACACACACACACTCCTTTGTCAATCATTGTACCTTTTTGATACTGTGATATACAAAATAAATGTATTTGTATTTGCCTGACAATGCCATTTTATAGGCTAACAAGAAAGATCCATGACATCAGAGACTTCAAATACCATCCAACGCGTGCTCATTGTGACGTCATTATTGTAGGTACTATAAAACAACCATGGTTCGACGTCAAAATGGCTGTTCACACTGACAGCTTAGTCGGTAGTAATTATTCATCTTCGTTTAAATCGACTTATAATCTTGAGGAAACGGTGACATATATAGAGAATGTAAATACAAGTGTTGAAATGGCATGTTATAGCATTTATGACAGTTATAAATGACAGTTTTGCAAGCAATCATATCACATTGCGGCGTGGTGTTGGCTTCCAAAGCTCTGTCATTCATATCGTTAATAAATGTCACGACATCACAGTTCACTGCTTAATTAATATTCAACACTAAGGCTTAATGACAAGTTCAAGTTTTGGACCGAATTCTTATATAATTGTAATCAATGGTTTGAATGAATACCAACGCTTGGGAGAATTTCAAGTTTAAAATGTTCTTTAGTGATGTCAGATCTGTTAAAATGACGTTATGAAAATTATAGGACGCCAATATCATTCTGTATGACGTCACGAGGGTGTCGGGTCACGACGTTGACTAATTGCTTGCGTCAATTTTACGCTGTTTAACGTGCTATCAACAGCTGGAGTTATTGAAGAATGGCCTCCCGGGGTATGCGAGGTGAGTGTATGTGGTGTTCGTGTTATTGGCGGTTACGGTATGGTCGTGTAAGTCTTTTTATGACACTGTGGAGTTCTGGTAACTTTAGAGTGCTGTCATACTGAAGCATACTGCTGAAAACCCCCAGCAGGATACCTCACCCAATCATAGGACAAACCAGTCTTTACACAACCATAATACAGGACGTTCAGCAGAAAGAAGTAAGATAAGTTATTATCAAATACACTATCAGCTAAAATAAAAACAGGATATTTATATGTAACATGAGCAAAATTTGTACGTTCTAGATGGTAGCTATGAATTCTTAACCAGAACCGAGAGAACAAATCCTCGTGGGGATATGGTTGTGTATTACACACACGTGATCCTAATCTATCTGTGAGAATTCCTTTCGTATCTGTCAATTCTCATCACGTTCTTTTTCTGAACACTGGGTTACAAATGATGGTGAGCAGTACATACATGAACACGGGCTTGTCAGCAAGTTATACAGATATACTAATAAAAAGTGAATTTTGTGTGTGTTTAGGTTGTGTGATAGTTTTAATAAAAAAATATGTTTTTATATAGTTTTCTAAATGGATGGAAATGTTAACACCACATTCTTATAATGATTTATATAAATATGTACATAAACAACGACACGAACTGACCAAAGAAAATTAATCAGCATTTTCATATTTAAACAGAAAATATCACAAAGAATGGCATTACCAAAGTCATATTAGAAACCATTTTTTTGAAGTTATTTACGTTTATCGTCGTGCATAACTACTTAATATCGATTCAAAGGATATTTAATATTTTCTAACAATAGTTTAGCAAAACTGTCATGATGTTAGAATGGGTATGGATTTCTATATTTCTGACGTCATAATTCTTTTCAATATAGGTAAAATTACAAAAAAACTCAATTACGTAGGTATGCAGTTATTACACTATATGACAGTCTGAATATATGATGGTGTTATTACACTGTATAACAGACTGGTAATATACTGTCTAGTATTACGATGTATATATCCGGATATTACGAGATAAGCTATATCGAAAAAAATGGTATATCGAGATATCATGTCTGGTAATTACGAGGTATATATCCGGATATTACGAAATAAGCTATATCGAAAAAAATGGTATATCGAGATATCATGTCTGGTAATTACGAGGTATATATCCGGATATTACGAGATAAGCTATATCGAAAAAAATGGTATATCGAGATATCCTGTCTGGTTATTACGAGGTATATATCCGGATATTACGAGATAAGCTGTATCGAAATAAGTGGTTTATCCAGATATCCTGTCTGGAAATTACGAGGTATATATCCGCGAGGGATCTGGAGATATTTTTCCTCGCAGAATGCCTTGTCAATTATCTTTTATATAAATTTTGTCAACTCTACCACGAAATCACATCAACGTTTATTACATGAAAAAGTAACCGATTTCCATACAGTTTACTATCACTACCCTTGTTCTTAACTTAAATTGACATTAATGTTGATTTCGACTCGCTGTCGAGGTCTCGGAGTAAAACGATATTACCCATCAGTTCTCAGAATTACTGGTATTTGTGTTACGCCGATTTGCGGAATAAAACTATCAAAATATCGATATAATTCAACGAAATTAGGAACGAAATTTAAGTGCAGTTGTGTAACGATCTACTAACGATCGATTTGACGCAAATATCGAGTAATTTAGGAACGTAGAACTCCACACTGCTGTACTCCAACAGTCACTTAAAAACAATTATAGCGTTGTATTGTAAGTTAGAATGTACACAACAATATTATTGATTATGTTTGTTTATATATGGATGAAAGATTATTAAAATATTTTCTTAAAAGTTGAACCTTATCATAATTTGAATATTTGTTTTTTAATTTTCTCGTATCTGATAAGATCAATCAGAACGTGTGTTTTGCGGTGATTTTTCATAACTTTATGGAAAATAATATACTTGTATATATATATTTTTATTTGTTCTTTTGCTATTGTTTTAGTTTTGTGTGTTTTTATTCAATTAATTTTTCGTTTTAGTTTCCTAATTGTTATTATTGAACATGTATTGAGTATTTGTAACACATTCGATAAATATTTTTGCTTATAAAAACTCAAATCAATTACACAGTTGAATGACTTGCCTACGTATAACATATCTAGAAAAAATCGGAAAAAACATCAATAACGAAATATTCAAACAAAAACAAGTAAAGAAAATAAAAACCACAAAACAAAACAAAATACAAATCAAATAAACAAAAGCAACTAAAGAAAAAAAATAAATATGAAAATTACAATTTCCATACAAAAAAAATTATACTACGTCGAAACTTAATATTGCTTTAAATGAGAATATAGATAATATCATGTTTATATAGATAGGTATAACTTTACTTACCTCTGTCTACAGAAGAGTCTTCTGGAAGAATGTAAGCTTCCCCGGTGAAGTGACAAACTATCAAGGTCAGAAGTAATAGTAAAAATTGTATCCTCATGTCTGTTTCGTCTGTTAAGTTCCTGCTGTAACTCTGCTGTAACTGCTGTAAGTCCTTGTATGTTTCTCCCTGTAATTCCTGTGTGTGATCTTTACGTATACTCGACCAATTCTGTTACAGTTCCGAAACACCGAGCTTATCAATGATTCACACAAACTCTGTACCGAAATCTATGTTTGATTATTACAGCCAAAAAAATTAATTTAAAAAATATTACTTAAAAGACCCTCAAAGGCTTTCCACGGAACGCAATTCTTACCACAGATACAGGAAATTTGTTTTGAAAACTGAAATAGATTCACCTGTGTTTAAATCTTTAAAAAATGCTCCATATTAAGTGTACGTCGGTTGAGCTATGAGCGTTGTATACAACGTGTATATGAAGATGGTAGCCGATCAATACACGTCATCTAGATAAAACAACAAAAGAGAAAGAATATGTCTTTAACAAAAAATATAATCAACTTGTGATACAAAGAAATACCATAGAAACCGTACAAATTTTAATTAGTGAATATTTAATCACTGTTTAAAGAGATTTGTATTTAGTCTCGTCTGTCTGTCAAACTAAACTTGTAATGATTAAGTAGTAGTGAATACTGTCTAAACATACCTGGTGATACTCACAGCCGAGTTTCCTTCCTTTCCTACAGAGACAAGTGTCCTCTTAAATTGTAAGAAGTGCTGATAATAATTTTACTGCAAATTTAAACGACGTGGGACCTTTGCAGCTCGCCTCTTATACTACTCACCTAACCCTAAATTGTTCCTTTCTGTGCGTAATTAATGAGGCGTTGACACTTCCGGTTTTTTTATTCCTGACGTTTTATAAATTCCAGAGTAGCCTTATAACACGAAATTATTTCCTGTGACACAAATGTGGTTGTTTGAGTTTCCAGTTCTCTGTAAACAAGCCACCCGACAATTCTGGACTGGTTTATGACCACTCGAGTCCTTGTGTGCTGTGTAGTAAACGGATAGGGTTAAAGAGGCGAGAAGACTGGAGCTTCTCGCCTCCACGTTAGAGAGCTCCTATAAATAGTTTCGCGACGTAAGCGTACTTGTTCCTATCGACAGAAGATATCTCATTGTTGCTAATGATATAGGGATTTGTGCTAAGGCGATCAAAATGCTTTTTGACTCCGGCATGGGCAGATATATAAAAATTAACTGTATGTAGAGGATATTATTGTATACGAATTCCCAATCATAGAAAATTTGTGAGGTTTTGTAGATTTCATATGAAATGGACACGACTGTAATGTTCTATTTATCACAGAACTTCGATACCTTTGCAACATACTTGAAATGACATTTTATTAGACTAATAAAAAGATCAAAATTGGCAATATGGTCGTTCAATTTATCTTTCTGTCACAAAGCATGCAGCCTATTAAGTGATGACGTCACAGTTGGACCTACATGCAGGTTCTGCCAATCACAGTTCAGCTGGTTGACTTAAGCATGTGTTTCAACAAACAATACAATTATCGGCTCTTGAGTTTGTTTTAGAGGGTATTGGGTGGGGGAGGGGATAGGGTTGGGGTTGGGATAGGGTTGGGGAGGGGATAGGGTTGGGGTTGGGATAGGGTTGGGGAGGGGATAGGGTGGGGGAGGGGATAGGGTTGGGGTTGGGATAGGGTTGGGGAGGGGATAGGGTGGGGGAGGGGATAGGGGGAAAGGGTTGGGGAGGGGATAGGGTGGAGGAGGGGATAGGGTTGGGGAGGGGATAGGGTGGGGAGGGGATAGGGTTGGGGAGGGGATAGGGTGGGGATAGGGTTAGGGAGGGGATAGGGTTGGGGAGGGGATAGGATGGGGGTTGGGGAGGGGATAGGGTGGGCGAGGGGATAGGGTTGGGGAGGGGATAGGGTGGGGGAGGGATGGGAAAGGGGGATGGGCGGGGAACAGCGGAAACAACGGACGGTAAATGTAGAGTCACCTTTACACTGTTTTAGATATATAGATTATATACCCTTCATTTTACATCATCACATTTACTTTTTGGCGTTCCATACCACACTATTTTACAACGGTTACAATAACTATAATCTGATGTTGATCGTGTACGCCAAGTTGATAGGAATGTCACGGAGTACTTCAGAGTACCTGAAAAAACCTTGTTTTCAATTTACAATGGGTTTTCGTGAACAATTTGAACCATCGAAGCAAAATAGCCTCCTCACGACCGAGGCAAAACTGCAAGGACCTAATTATCAGCTTCAGCTCCAAGATATATTCTCAAATGGCATTGCACTGCCACAGGAACCCACCTATACCGACCGCCATAATGACTATTGGATCAACCCATAACGAGGCAAAGAACAAGCGTTCGATTAATGCAAGCGCTCAGGTGATCCGTTCTAAGTCCACCTGCCATATACGGCCGTGGCGGTACTTAGTCACACGTCATGATGGCCATTTTGGCACAGAACAGGATTATAGAGGCGACAGGTCAGTGCAGACGACACTTTCAGAGTGATGGGTGTAGTCAGTGATCTTCTATTACGTGTAAAAATATAGACATTCCATAAGGTCATGCGCGATAATTTATAAACAAAACGATATGGTCATCCGTGCGCTTTGTCAGCATTGTTTTTTTATGATGATGCTTGCGTTAGGGTAATGTAGTCGGATTAGATATAGTGTTATATATTCTGAAGCATTATATACCATCCTGAGTGATAAGACGGTACATAAAATATTAACAATGTCTAACAGACATTAAGGCAAATATTTTGTGATTTGTGTCACGTGACAAATTATCTACATGTAATTAGTACTGATTTAGGTAAATTGAGAAACACATCAGTCGAGAGTTACATTAGACAGATTATCACCATGGCAACTGTTTTATTTTGCCACATCTTATAAAACTGTATTTATTTAACAACAATTGCACATGGTATATGTCAAGCACGGAAGTATGTGAGGGGCCTTTCTGTAAGAGGTACATGGCGCGCCTCGAAAGAAACATATTAACGGAATCTTATTCCAAATAGCAGTTCAGTGAATCTAAGACAAAATGAGGAAAAAAGAAAGATTTACACAGACCTGAATAAGTACAAGGAGAATAAGACCAATCAGACTGTGACGTCACGCCATGGTTACCGGTTGTGATTAAAGAAGCTCCGTAGGCAACGTGGTAATTTTCTTAGATATTTACTGTTTTCGACAGCAAACATAACAAATGAAACATGGGATTGATGTAAGTTACTACAAAGAAGTTGGTTACGTGTTTTGGAGTGAATAGCGTTGACAGATTTGATGGAAAATAACAAAAAGTAAAGCCGGAAGTGGTGCTGCTGGAGCCGTTACCAGAACCAAATCAGTGTTTTCGTCTACAGAAGTCAGGATGGATACCCTGAACGTCACTCAATCTGGGTGTAAGTTGTGTTCAAAGGTGTATGTTGAGAAGACAACCAAAATGCTGAAATGCAACAGATGCCGGGTATATTTTTGCATTTGATGTATTGGCATGGAGGTACGTACGTATGAAGTTTTGTGCCGATCAGATAGTATGTGGTTTTGTCCTCCATGTAGAGTGACAGTTGAGAAAAGTATACTGACTGATAGCAAAAATTGACGAAAGGTGTCACTAGATAATGGAAAGATTCAAGAAAGGGCTTGAGGATTTGGAAAAGAAGAAATGTGAAATATCTGATGTCGAATGCATATTGAAAAAGGAAATGAAAAAAGGTTTTGAAACAGATGGAAACGCTTCAGTGTTCAGATGAAATATTCTCCGAGGTAAAGGATCGGCAAAGCAGGGAGAACAACATGGTCATTTTTGGAGTTCCTGAACAGCCCGATGACGATGGAAATAAAAGAATGAGAGAAGATATTCGGGTAGTGGAGAGGATCATTGAAACGTGTGGAAATGCTCAGGGAGGACCCCAGAAGGTCATTAGACTGGGAAAACGCCCGGATTCAAGTATAGCGTCAAGTGAAAAAAGGGCGACAAATGCTTGTGAAATTTGACTCTCTGATGCATAAAAAACATATTTTCAAAAATATCCAAAGGCTACGCAGCTGCGAACAATTTTCTTCTATACAAATCAGGAATGATCTGACCAAATTAGAACGAGAAAAGGAAAGTAAATTATATAAAGAGGCAAAAAGAAAAGAAGAACAAGAATCTGAAGCCTACATCTATCGGGTTCGAGGACCACCATGGAACAGAAATATGTTCGCATCAGCAGGAAATGAGACATTTAGGCCACGAATGTTATACATATTCAGCACTGAAATATAAATAGACCTATATCTCAATCTTTCATGATGAACAATAATTTGATCTCTCAAAACCGTAAATTGCTAAGTCACTATGTAACAATTTATTTCCTCCTACATTGTATGATATATCAATTCCATTGTAAATCAATTCTAGATATGGACATAGAGGCATTGTTTTGTCTGCGTCCGTTATTAACTTAACTTAACTTAAGACCAGGTGTTTCGGAAAAGTAAACATCTGTTTCATCGATTACATCCACCATATAAATCTTAGTCTATGCAAGTAAGTAATGTCACGTTCTCAAATAAGAACAAGGTAAAAACAGGACACACAATGCAAAATAACGAACATCAAACAGCTTCATAGCGCACAAATATAACATTTTCTCGTGAGATCATTATTAGAGAGTTAATGTTGATAACCAAATGATATTGACTGAAATATTGTAACTTACAAACAATCCTGTTTTGTCTTATAAGCAGAAGTGACATCCACGAGCTACTTTAATCTAAATTATATACAATGTAATGTTATTTAGAAATAAAGTAAAATCTGACGTTATGTATGTAATATATAGAAAAGAAGTTTTCATAAAACAACCAGTAGAAGATTAGAGTGTGACGTTTCAATGACTACACGGTCACCTTCATCTTATAACACAACCAGTAGAAGATTAGTGTGTGACGTCTCGATGACTACACGGCCACCTTCATCTTATAACACAACCAATAGAAGATTAGAGTGTGATGTTTCGATGACTACACGG